AACAAAACGCATTACTGTACACGTTTCATGGCTCCTACACAGGAAGCAGGTGCTGAGTTCTAGTTAAAGAAGCAGCAGGTTAGAGACTCTGACAGTCGAGAGCCAGAGACCGAGAGAGAAGCTCGATGTCTGAATTCAGAAGGATCATGATGTCTTCATTCCTGATGCTGCTGCTCCACTTTCCAGGTGAGGAGAACACTTTAAATAAACAGCTCTAATATCACTAACGGTGCTTTACTACGTACTGTTCCTTTAACCTGTTAAGCACCATCCCCCCGGTACCGGGGAGGAAAACGCATCATCTGCAGGAAGCAGTATCTGAGAAGACGCAGAATCGATCGGTACCTACATTATCACTCCATGATAAGAACTCGTGACTTTATAAACAATAACAGACATCAAAACATGTGGCGCTCGGTAGCTAAAAACGCTAACATGGCTCACCTGTCTCTTTGTCTGGTCAAAACTGGTCTTCAATGGCATTAAAACGATAAAAACGCTGCTGAAGTTAATCCATAGGTTAATCCAATGTGTCTGTGTCCCTTTGAATGATTTCTGATAATCCATCAGCAATAAACCTGCTTTTCCGTTTCCAGATGTCAGAGCTAGAGATAGGTTCGCTCTGATGCAAAACTGTGTATGCATAGCTCGCATTTCTCAATGGTAACGTTGGTGTGTATGTGAATATCCCCCTTCGATTCTATTAACTCTAACGGTTAAAAAGAGATGTCAATCACCAAAATCGACCAATGGGTTCCAGAGAAACTCCACCTCAGAGGTGGAGTTTTTTTTGCTAAACCTCTCTAAAAAGGTCAAATATCACTTGTTTTGCATCAATCCTGATACAGGGTACTTATTATATGTTATAGTTTGGATTCCTAAAGCTTTTAGTCTACCTATCCAAAGTTAGTTTTCACTATAAGTAAAAAATAATTTTTGGACGGACACTATAATTTACAGTTTTTTCTATGTTCAATCTGAATTTTCTTTACAATAAAAAACATCTATATTGATTCTGACTGTTCTACAACCAACTCACAGGTTTATCATTACTTTGAGAAAAACGATTATTAATTTAACCCTTTTAGAAGATATGGTCATTTGTTCTGGGAATGTCATTTTCGAGCCTGAGACCTGAAAACAGGCTAAACAGGTTAACTGAGAATGATGAGTCGTGTTTGTAACGTGGTGACTTTAGTGAACTCTTGGAAACCAACCTCTCACAGAGATACTTTTTCAAACTTCTGTATCTGCTGTATGATGATCATCGTGCTGATTATATTCACTACAGTTGTTTTCATATTTCCTTCAGTCTTTGTTTTTAAACAGCTCCAGATGTGAAAGGTCACTTCCTCATTGTCAGAGCTGGAGATGAAGTCACTTTGCCTTTTGACAATGTGCTCCATGATCAGGATGAGTGTGAGAGTGCTACCTGGACCTTCAGTGATTTCAGCAGCTCAGTGACGCTGTTTGAAGACGGGCAGATTCACAAAGAAGCCAAAGCTAAACCAGACAGACTGTTCTCTGGTTATAAAGAAGGTCACAGAATAGGATGCTGGTCTTTACACCGAACATGAGCATGAATCGAATAGAACATTTAGCAGGACTTGAATTGGACCTAAGGATTTCTCTAGAAGCTGATGAAGTGTTCTCTCTTCTCCATCATCCCTCTACGAGTTAACCTCCTCCGCTCAGTGTCACACGGTCTGAGGGGTCAGAGAGTTTCTTTTCTAACCCCGGCAGAACATGCAGGTTTTATTTCAGACTCTGTCTAAACATTTACAAACCCTCCATGTTCAGTGCGAGCAGGACGTTTCTAATGTCTGGGTTTAAGTTACTCTTTAACTCAGTGACTTGAAAGTGACCCTGGAATCTGACATTCACAATGGAAATCAACTCTGGCATGACCAAAGTGACTCAGACTTTACCTTTTGACCTTAAGGGCCAAATATGAGCATGAATCGGATAGAAAACTTTGTAGGACTCGACTTGGACTTAAAGACTTAGAAGCTGATGAAGTTTTCTCTCTTCCTCATTATCTCTGCGAGCAATCATCCTCCGAGTTTATTTTCTAACCCCGGCAGAACATGGAGTTCTATTTCAGACTCTGTTGGTTCGGTTTGTTTCTTTAACTCAGAACAATCATGTCTCTGAAGTGATTGGCTCCAATCACTAAACAGATCATTGCAGCATTACCCATAATCCCCTCTGTTTCAGCCCTGTTTCCAAAGTGCTGATTCTCTGTCTGTTACTTTAGATGAAAATAAGGAGCCCCTCCCCACGCCCCTCTGAGAGACATTTGGTTACAAAGAACTCAATGGTGCTCTAGGAGGAGAATCAGGTGATAAGGGGGGGGGGGGGTTACCTTGGTTGCTGATTGGCTAATGGTTACACAAGACAACACATCGTTATGACATCACAAAGTGGCCAAAATCTGATCAGCTCATTTTCAGACAGGTTTTTATAGAAATGGATCAAAAAGAGAGAGAATCTTTGTTCCTGAAAAGGATTGTTTCTTTAACTCAGTGATTTGTATCGGACCCTGTCATCTGACATCGACAATGGAGATCAACTCTGGCATGACCAAAGTGACTCAGACTTTCTGACTTCCCTGTCACCTTAAGTTTGCCTGCAGATCTGCGTCAGACTCCTTTTGACCTCCAACAGACTCTTTATCCTTCTGTCAAGATGCTAACAACGCCTGTTTCTGTCACAATCCGTCCAAGTCGTGCTCCCCAGTTTTGTTTCTGTTAATTAGTTTCTTGTTTTTTCCTGCCTTCGGCTTTTGTTAATAAAGCTCGCTTTTTGTTACCTTACCTTTTTAGTCCTTTTTTAAACTGCACTTGGGTCCCATTTTCCACACACCCTGACAGTACGAACAGACCAATATGGACCCAGCAGTTTTCCCCCTCAATAGTTAGATCCACGGTTGTACACTCTTGAGTATATTTTTTACAAGTGGATGAGGGTGTCTTCAAGAGCGGCCAAGGAGGCTGCCCAGAAGGAGGCACGCATGGAGGTGGCCAACAAACCCTGGCTCTGGAGCTTGTTGCCCGAGTGGCTTAAGGTTTTTACAAGTAGCCCTGAGTGCCAGCCTCAAGCCTCAAACCCCTTCTTGGGATCCCACCTTGCCTTAGGAGGTCCACGGAGCCTCTAAAAGGTCTCTAGAAGATGCAAGGCCAGGATTCCAGCCGTGGTCCCAGCAGCCATGGTTCCAGCCCCAGTTCTGGCCCCAGCAGCCATGGTTCCGGCTCCAGAACCGGCCCGCAAAGCCATGGATCCGTGCACCAGTACCGGCCCACACAGCCATGCTTCCGTGCTCCATTACCTGGCTTACACAGCCAGGGTTCAGGCTTCTGTTCCGTACCCAACAGCCATGGTTCCGGCTCCAGAACCGGCCCCAGCAGCCATGGTTTCGGCTCCAGTACTGGCCCTACGGCTGACGCCAGCCCCCCGTGTCCTGTCAGCGTACCGGCCGACTCCAGTTCCTCGTCTCCTGTTGGCTCTCCAGCCGACGCCAGCTCCCTGTGTCCTGTCGGCGTACCGACCGTCTCTCACCTCTCCAGTTCCCTCTCAAGTTTCTTCTCAAGTCCCCTCTCGAGTCCCTTCTCAAGTCATCTCTCAAGTCTCCTCTCCAGTTCCCTCTCAAGTCACCTCTCGAGTTCCCTCTCCAGTCTCCTTTCGAGTCACCTCTCGAGTTCCCTCTCGAGTTCCCTCTCAAGTCCCCTCTCGAGTTCCCTCTCCAGTCACCTTTCGAGTCACCTCTCGAGTTCCCTCTCGAGTCCCCGCTCGAGTCCCCTCTCAAGTCACCTCTCGAGTCCCCTCTCGAGTCCCCTCTCAAGTCTCCTTTCGAGTCACCTCTCGAGTTCCCTCTCAAGTCCTCTCTCAAGCCCTCTCTCAAGTCCCCTCTCAAGCCCACTCTCAAGCCCTCTCTCGAGTCCCCTCTCGAGTCACCTCTCGAGTTCCCTCTCAAGTCCTCTCTCAAGCCCTCTCTCAAGTCCCCTCTCAAGCCCACTCTCAAGCCCTCTCTCGAGTCCCCTCTCGAGTCTCCTCTCGAGTTCCTTCACAAGTCCCCTCTCCAGTCCCTACTAAAGTGCCATTGGAGGTTCCGCTGGGGGTCCTGCCAACTCCATGTCCTGTCCCGTTGGGGGTCCCGTCGACTACTCTCCTGCCGGGGGTCCTGCCAACCCTATGTCCTGTGCCGTTGGCGGTTCCGCCAACTGCTCTTCTGCCGGGGGTCCTGCCAACCCTGTGTCCTGTCCCGTTGGAGGTCCTGCCGACTACTCTTCTGCCGGGGGTCCTGCCAACCCCGTGTCCTGTTCCGTTGGAGGCCCCGCCGTCACCTGTCTCGCCGGGGGTCCTGCCAACTCCTTGTCCTCTTCCGTGGGGGATCCTGCCGACACCTGTCCCGCCGGGGGTCCTGCCTACTCCTTGCCCTGTTGCGTTGGTGGTCCAATCGACACCACCCCTTGCTCCATCCGGGACTCTGCCTTGCCCCCAGGCCGTCCGCCCGAGATCCCCTCCATGGATTCTGCTTTGTCCCGGGATGTCCGTCCAACTATTTCAAAACAACATGAAACACAACACCGGCTAATACATGTGTTTAAAAGAAGGCCATTAAAGTGACTTTCATTAGACGCTCGTTGAGTTTATTAATGTTTCTGATGGTTATCTGGTCGGCATCAGAGGGTCAAACCTGCAGAGCTCTGCTGCTGCTGTTAACCACAACTTCACAGAAACACCCTAACCCATTAAAACTAACGCTCTTTACATTCTCAACTTCCTCTGTTGTGTTGCTGATGAAGAAGGCCTACAGTTACCGTCACTCTGAATAACCAGACACAAGAAATGCATCAAACGTACAAATCTGATGTTAAAAAAGTGTCTTACTCTTTTTTATTAAACAACAAAAATAAGAGAGATTAAATGCTGATATCACACATTAACCCAACGGCCATCAGAGGAGAGATGAATGAGGAAGTGACTCTTCATTACCACAGGAAGTAGATGCTGAGTTCTTGTGAAAGAAGCAGCCGGGGAGAGACTCTGACAGTCGAGAGCCGGAGACCGAGAGAGAAGCACGATGTCTGAATTCAGAAGGATCGTGATGTCTTCATTCCTGATGCTGCTGCTCCACTTTCCAGGTGAGGACGCAGAGAACACACACTGTTTACGACTGTTATTGAAAGCTAGTGAGGGCGTCTCTCAATTGAAATCGGTGTATCCTTGGGCGAGATGCTGAACCCCAAGTCGCTCTCAATGGGGAACGGTGTGTGAAAGATACCTTCTGTCGTGGCGTTTTGATCCGTTTCTACATTTAATATCCACGTTCCTCTATCGGGGTGTGGGCTACGACGCGCCTCTCTTTGCTTCCTAACTAACTTTGCAGAGATCGTTGTAGCTTTGAATCACATCAGGTTTATTCTTTGATCCAGGCGACATTCAAACATGAAGACAAACTTCCTCGCTTCAAAGTAACTCAAAGTTCTCCGTATCAAAAAAGAACTAAAAGAACACGGTCAAAAGACTCTACCGCGTCCTGTCTAATCACACCCTCAGCTGTGAACCAACGCCATGCCATATATAGAGATACAGACATGCAGACATGCACGTCATATCTGACAGCAAATAAGTGAGGCTTAAACTAACATCTTTTAAAGCGTAGTGTGACTCACTAAAATAGATAGTTAAGAGTTTCCTCTAAAGCCTTTTAGTAATAAGACAAACATTCAAAGCATAACGATGAAAGGGAAATGGCTCTAATACCTGCATTGACCAAGGGGCACATTGCTCTGTATGAACTGGTTGTGAATGGATGACTTGTTGTATGTAAACAACTGCTGGGAGACGTAAAGATGTCACGATTTCGTCCCTTCAAACGTGACAGTTACACGGTATTGTTAACCAGTGGAGAAATACCCGGAAATGCCAAGTAAATCCTCTACCCCGACGGTCGGTTGTTATTTGATTTTGATATACTTTATTAATCCCGTGGGGAAATTGTTTCTCTGCATTTGACCCATCCGAGTATTAGGAGCAGTGTGCTGCCATTTTGAACGGCGCCCGGGGAGCAGTGTGGGGAACGGTGCCTTGCTCAGGGACACCTCGGTAGCACTTGGTCTTGCCGGGACTTGAACTGGTGACCTTCCAGTTACCAAGCCAAGTCCTTATCGACTTCGCCACCACGGCCAATATTGTCAATATTAATATAATAATGATTTATTTTTTAATAGTCACACTCGATTACGCCGGTTTCCTTGTTGCCCCAGCTGGTCGACATCTCTTTGAGCAGAAACAAAGGCTACATTAATGTATTAAATCGATGTTAATCCATGCGTGTGGATGTGGAATTAACGGACGTGACGTTGTGCGATTGCGTTGCCAGGCAACAGCTTCGGTTCATGTTAATTTACAAACTCTTCAACTATAACCGTAGTTATATTTAAAAACATGTTAGAAGGCCTCACAAAATACTTTAATGCAAATTAAAATGTAAATGTGAAGGAATTTGTGTATAACAAAATACATCCGTCATAAACTAAACCGGAAACAGACATAGGCAAGATCCTCAGCTCGATGATTGGATGGTTATCCGCAATGCATGCTGGGATTTGGTGTTTATGTGATGTGAAATCTGAAAACATTTAAAAAAAAAATAATAATACTTTATTCCGAGTGTGCTTGCTTTTCTCTTTGGAAGTCATCACATAACGGCATTGTAATACACGGTTCGGCTGCATTCAATATTACATATCTGCCGTAGTTCTCTATTTATAGAGCCCTGATGAGAAGACTTCCAGACAAACATGAAGAACTGCCGCCAACACTGAAAACGTGACGTGGATCATAAATATATCAGCAATTAAACAACATCTTACATTTCTTTTCACACAATACGTCTCCTTGCAGTATCAACACTAATTCGGCTGACTTTTATATTTGATCCAATTGGTAGATAGGCTGTATTTACACCATAAAGGTGCACAGCTGATATAAAGGGACACCTAGTGGTTAAAACACGTTATTGAATTTTATTATTTTATTATGACTTGTTGTATGTAAAGCGCTTTGAGGGGTGAGAGACTGGATGAAGAGCTTTATGAATACAGTCCATTTACCATTTACCAAGTACATGAAATAAAACAGCTCTAATATCACTAACGGTACTTTACTACGTACTGTTCCTTTAACTGAGAGTGAAGAGTTGTGTTTGTAACGTGGTGACTTTAGTGAACTCTTGCTCACTAAAACCCACATAGCAATATTCTTTAAAGTGATCGTCACACTCACTATGAACGCTTCAGTTAGTGATGTGGATCTGTAATTAACTCTGGTTTGAATGTGTCGTTAAATGATTCATTAAACAGATCAACCAGAACTCTAACTCTTTACCTTTTATATAATACATCATTATTCTGTCAGCATTTATCACGTCTATATTTCTTTCTGCTTTTTCCCCCAACAGCTGCAGATCTGAAAGATTATTCCCGCATTGTCAGAGCTGGAGATGAAGTCACTTTGCCTTTTGACAATGTGATACATGATCAGGATGAGTGTGAGAGTACTAGGTGGACCTTCAGACATTCAAGACTCCCAGGAGTGACGCTGTTTGAAGACGGGCAGATTCACAAAGAAGCCAAAGCTAAATCAGACAGACTGAGAGTTACAGAGAAATGTTCTCTGGTTATAAAGGAGGTCACAAAGGAGGATGCTGGTCAATACCGCTGCAGACAGTTCAGATCAGGAGAACAACAAGATCCAGACTCTCGTGTTTATCTGTCTGTTGTTTCCAGTGAGTATTTACATCATGATGTTTTAAACTTGTTATGATCGCGGAAAAGGTAGGAGTGAAATGCAGACTACAAAAAGAGGTAAGTAGGTCTAGACAAAAAAACGAGCTTTATTTTAAAAGCTGATGGCAAAAAACACAAAGGAAGTACAAGGAAGATACAATACCAAAAAGCTGACGGTGACATGGAGGGAGACAGGAAAAACAAACAATGAACCGACAGGGGGAAGACAAGACTAAATACAGAGAGGGGTAATCACAGGACGAGAAACAGCTGGGTAAGGGAGGCAGAAACACAAGGGCAACAGGTGAACACATTGAGACAATCAGACACAGGAGGAGAACAAGAGACAGGGAGAACAGCACAGCAAAACAAAACCCATTACCAGACAGACAACACCAAGATCGTGACGAAACTGTCTCTATAGAGCAATATACTAAATCATTACAATAATAATGATTACAGTGATGAAGTTCAATTTTAATTTTGTTGTCTTTCTCTCTCAATATCTCAATCTGCAGTGACTGAACATCAGGACAATGATGAGGTGACGTTAGACTGCTCTGTGTCGACAGATGGATGGTGTATACACCCAGTGAAGTGGCTGCTTCAGGGTCGAGATGTGGACAACGATCACAGAGAGATAAACACATCACAGTCTCCCTGCTCTGCCTCTGTGACATTTCTGACTTCTCTCTTTAGTAACACATACAGGTCTGAGTTGTTTACTTGTGCAGTAACTGATGTGTTCACAGGAGAAGTTCATCTGTTTCCCCTCAGCCCTCAGTCCTCAGGTGAGAACACGTTGAGATGTTTAAAATCACTTCTAACAGTCTTGTTATTAGAATATACTGAAACAACACATTTACAACGTCTCACATTTATCAGGGATGTAATGAGTTTCTGAAATGTGAAGAGACGGAAGGTTCTGATAAAAAGGAGAAGCTCTTAATTGAGAAACCAGGTTAGAATATAATGAGTTGTTTCAAATCACTTATCACACATTTAATCACAGATAATGCTTTTTGGGGTTTGAGGTTTTGACGTCACTTCATTTTGTCATTTGGTTTATGCATAAAACCTTTTTTTGTAACTACAGTTTTTTGCATGATGTTGTTTTGTTCCTGAAGGAGATGCTACAACAACTGGAACACCAGGTCTCTTGAGGCTCATCCTGGTGTCTGTGGGGTTAGCAGCTCTCGTCGTCACCGTGGTTACGGTCCACATCTGGACCAGAGCTAAAGGTGAGGGTTCATAGATTCAAGAGAAAGGACAAAGGAAACCGTGGAAGCTGAAGTCAACATGTTTGTCTTTTTGTTTTTTCAGGGAGCAAAAAACGGAAGACAAAAAACCTGGTGAGTTTAAATATAAAATAATAGCTTGTAATATTTATTATTTTCATTGAACTGTGATTATAAGACAGGCAGAAGATTCAACAAAGGAGTAAAGTGTACATGTTGTGTTGAAATGAAGTATCTCTGTGGGTCCCTTGAGCAAGGCACTAAAGGAAGTACTGAGATATTGTACTTCATTACAAGTAGCAATACTACAATGTACAAATACTCTAATATATAAATATGATAATACAAATATACCTAAATTGAAAGAACTGATTATGCAGAATGTAATAATATAATATGTGATTATAATAAGTGATGTTTTAATGTGTATCACTTCCATTTGCAATGAATGGTTTATTAAAATGACTTACATACTACTGGGTAGCTGAACTAGTTATATTTGTCATGTAATACATCATAGATGGAGATTTCTGCTCAATTTAAGAATGAAATAAATACATAATAAAAAAGGAATATAAAACATGTTAAAGAAAGAATGTGTAATAAAGATGAATGGATGAAGACGAGTAAAAAGTTCAACACGAAGCTCCAAAACAAGGAGCAGTTCAAGTGTAAAGTAGCATTAACTGATGATAGTCAAGTCAAGTCCTTCAAATATGTACTGAAGTAGAAAACTGAGTAAATGTACTTCGTTACTTTCCAGCTCTGCTCTGTGTTTTTACCATGTCTCTGTTCCATGCTGACAGGAGCAGAATGATGAAGATGAAGATGAGGTGAACTATGAAAACGATGGAGGGGCTTCTGCCTCTGTGTGACTGATCAACAACATCAACTCCCCTCAGAGTCCATGCTGTCAAACATCACCTCCTCATATGTTACAGGAGAAAACAGGAGAACCATGAGATCATTGGAACATTTCTGATGCCTGAGAACACCTGAGCCCCACGAGAGGCCCTTCAGAAACTCACCTCCATGTGATAGGAGACACAGCTTATTGTATTCATTCCTTTCTGATGACTGAGAACACCTGAGCAGTGTTCATTTTGGCAGCTGTTTTTGATTTACTCTTTAGACGAAAATGGTTATTAGTTTTAGTCACATTTGAGTCATTTTCATAGTTTAATCTAGTTTTAGTCGACGAAAACTCAAAACGTTTTAGTCCAGTTTTAGTCGATAAAAAATCATTACGTTTTAGTCAACTTTTCGTCAAAATGTTTTCTCTCTTCAAACTAATTCAGTTCGGCAAATACAGGAATCTGAAATCTGAATCAAGGTGACAGCATCAAGTGTTGAAATTCATAAAGCAACATTTCACTCTCTTAACACTTTACTTTTAACGGTATGCCTACTACTCTTAAAAATCTGTGTGCAGGCCGCTGCAGCGTGTCTGTTAGGCCCCGCCCCCCGCACACAGAGAGAGAGAGTTATGCCCCGCCCCCGCACACAGAGAGAGAGTTATGCCCCGCCCCCCGCACACAGAGAGAGAGTTAGGCCCCGCCCCCCGCACACAGAGAGAGAGAGTTATGCCCCGCACACAGAGAGAGAGTTAGGCCCCGCCCCCCGCACACAGAGAGAGAGAGTTAGGCCCCGCCCCCCCGCACACAGAGAGAGAGTTAGGCCCCGCCCCCTGCACACAGACGACACACTTCAGAAACTCAACTCCATATGATAGGAAGCACAGCTTATTATATTCATTCCTTTCTGATTTAACCTTTCATTATGCTCTCACATTCCCATACATAGTTATACTGCTTACACTGTATATTTCTGATTTAATGCTGTTTATTCTGAACATATCAATATTAGCAGTACTTGTACTCACACCTTATACCTTCACTTCTCACTGTAACTGCTGCACATGTTCAAACATACAAGCGTTGGGTTGAATTCATAAAATATTTAAATTGTAAAATGATCCATAAAATATTTTCTTAATTGTGTTCTCTAGGGAAAATCATTCACCCTAATGTCGATTTAATTACTTTAATTATGGTTTTATCTCGTTTTTCAATTAATGATTCATAAAATGTCTTATAATTAGCATAGCGTGTACTTATACCTACAGTATATATACCTGTACTGCCTACTGTAACTACTGCACATGCTGTATATATCTGATCAATAGTCTATACCATATATTTGCTATACTCACTTTTTACTCTATGTGTATTCCTAAAGCTGAAATGCCTCCAGTATCTTAGGATGTTTTAATTAGCTTAAGTCCTAATGGAATATGTTTCTCCTTTTTTTTACTACGGCTTTAATGAAATATAATCCAAATAAAAAGAGTACTTTTAATGAATGTTATAATGAGTTGTGTTTCTCTCTCTATCTCCAACACACTGACAACACAACGCTTTGTTGGGTTTAACCCCTCTCTCTGCCCTGGCTCTCACTTTGTAAACAACATACAGTTTGTGTCAGAGCCAAGGAAGGTGTTGCACATTCAGTGGAGCTGTGGTGATATCCTGGGATCAGGTATGAGGCAAGAGAGAGAGTGAGACTGTTTGATTTGACTTACGTACTCTTCAGCGTTCTTGGAGAGTGCATCAGAGCGTCACAGAGGAAGCTCTAAGAATGGCACATCGAGAAGAGGCTAGAAAACCTGGCTAGGTGGCTATAGACCTTTCAAATCCCCTGATCAACATCCTGTCAGCTTTCAGGTTGGTCCTCCGGTTCAGTCAGCGCTTCATCTGTTGAGCAGGAGCCCATTTTACCAGTTGTGTGCTGTTGAATGACGTGTGCGATTATTTGTGTGTTAGTGTGTGTATTTCTTAAAGTGTGTGTATGTGTGTGTGTTAATACACTGCAGCTCGACAGCACCACCCTCAGGTTTGTGTGTTTATTTTTTTACGATCAAACGTTTTACTTTTTGTTTGTCACTGGAGGAAGATTTTATATTCTACATTAAAAAGAAATCAAAACAGACTTCCTGCTGTCGAGTTTTCATCAGTAACGTGGGTGCAGATCAACTTTACTGCACAATCAACACTTTTATTTTTAAATAAATGTTGCTTACATTTTATATTTTCACTTCAGTATGGTTTATTTTCAGGACTTTTAATAGTATTTTCTTTTATTATAAAATCTGTTCTGTAATTACTCATCTTATTTATTTAGACCTGTTTTTCCTGCTGTATTTCCAGTCCAGGCCTCTAGGGGGCGATACACTCTTCAAGAACCTGACTGTACCTGTAATGCTCCTGAGTTTACTGATGCAGGGATACAAGATAAAAGACTGCATATTAAAAACACCTGATGCTGCAATTCCTCTTCATCACACCACGTGACCTCCTCTTCTTCTTCAGGTGAGTGATTATCTAAATGCTAAAGATTCAAGGCTTTACTGTAGATGCACATCATAACTAACTTAAGACATACAAAGTGATAAAGAATTTAAATAAGTAAATGAAATCATAAGGTGTATGTAAAAAGCAGAAAATGATATATTGCAGAAATACTGTTTGCTTTAATAAATAAGGGCACTGTAAACATGTTTGTGTAAACAAAGTCTGATGTATCTCTCTTCCTCTGTGCCATAGAGCTGCCATGTTCTCCTGAAACTATTAAAAACATGCACACACACTAACACACACACACACATACCGTGTATACATCACTTCAGGGGACATTACATTGACTTACATGCATTTCCTAGAGACTTATCCTAACCTTAACCATAACCAACACATGCCTAACCCTAACGCTAACCAAGTCTTCACCCTAAAATTAATGATTCCCCTCAAGGGGACCTCCATTTTGTCCCCATAAGGGAGGCGAGTCCCCACACGTGACTGTGTAAACAGATTTAGGTCCCCACAAGTATAGTAATGCTAACACACACACACACACAGCTGAAAATAGTCCCCAAATATCCGTTGTTTGATGTGTGTGGTGTGTGTGTGTGTGTGTGTGTGTGTGTGCGTGTGTGTGTGTGTGTGTGTGTGTGCGTGCGTGCTAAAGCATGTTTTGTACAAGCTACTACTGCCCCCTGCTGGCAGAAAAACCCTCATTTGCACATTTAAACATCATTTTAGAAAACGTGTCATATATAATAAAAATGTCTTTATGTACGAGATCAGCTGGGGAAGTGAGGCCATATCTGTCCCCTTTTTTTCACTGAACTCAGAGAGCACACACACACACACACACACACACACACACACACACACACACACACACACACACACACACACACACACACACACACACACACACACCACACAGAGGGGGGTCTTT